CCCCACTACAATACATGTTATTCAGTGTTACTGAATTAGTGTGAGGTTCATATTGGGAATACTTGTCCAGACAGTTTTATTTGAATGTGCACCAAACATTAAGCCAGTTTGACAATAATTAAAATTCAAATGTATATGATACAAATATGTTCATTTGCTTAATAAAATCAGCATACTCAAGCATATAAGAGGGCTGCAAAAAAAATTTTCTCTTGAAAGGACATATGTCCTACTAAGACACCATCTTGGTCAGACAAAACAAATTGTGGTTGGACATCACCAAAAAAAATTAAGATTTACTCACAGTAGATTTTTGTTCATCCTTACTGTAAAATGATTTATGATAAAAAAAATTATCTGGACATCATTTCTGGATTTTGCCTGACACGAGCAAATTTTGGTCAGCCAATGTCCGATGACAGACTATTATTTGCAGCCCTTTATTAGGACATGGCTTGTTCCTTGGTAAGAACCCCCTCAAAGTTTAAACCTTTTTCCTAAAGAAACAACTTTTCTTTTTGCCCAAGGAAGACCAAAAGTAAACGTCAATAGGAATTTAGTGTTCTTAAATCACTGAAGATAATTTGTTTTTTATTTTTATGGTGGTCTTGTGTCTAATGACATCATAATTTTGGTAAATTACGGTAAAACCTCAAATGGGGCAGGAATGGTTAACTTAAGCGAAGGTTAAGATATCAGCTATTCTTTGCCTTTACTTTGCCTTTCCCTACCCAAAATGGTGGAATTTTTTATTCTCTTGACAAGATATTCAGAGGCAAAATATGTCACATGACCTGGTTTACTATTTATCTCTTAAACAATACATCCCTGTCCACCATTCCGGCCAGAACCATGTAGGGACAACAAAACAATAGTTGTCTTGTTGTCCCCATAACGTTTCCATTTTTATCTGTTATGTGGCATCTTGCCAGCCCATTTTCAATTTCCTTTTAACCCAATCAAACATTGATAACAGGTCATGTGACCCAGTTAATCAACACTTGAAGCCAAAAATGAGAGATTTTCATGTTTCATAGTGTCACCAGTAAATCTCTGAAATGTTATATGGCTCTTATCACATTTTATGCAAATTAGGCTGTGAGCCATGTCTTAACAGGCTTGAGTAAGATCGTGATATGGAAATTTAAATAAAACTAGATGTCACTGTTTCTTTACTACACTTTTTGATCTGTAGATGTCCAACTGTTCAACCAGGTGATCTACTGTTAGTCAACAATAAATTATGTAACACAACAGTGTTAATCCATATGATTTTCACTTTTGCAGAAATCTGTTTTGCTATTTTACAAGAGATGCTTCAAAAGGTTAGTGAACTGGATGCAAAATCATTGCTTAGTTTAACATTTATTTAATATTAAGACTTGTAAGCCAAAGCAGCTTTTGGGTAAGACTGGGCCTAAACTATCTACAGTATGTACTGTCGGGTATAGTTCTTCAGGATCATAAATTGTGTAACAGGATTTATGACCCAAGATCACACATGTCATGATGCATCAAAGGAAATTATGAGCCCACTCTTGGCACAGAGGAACGAAAGATCCATCAATTCCTCTGATGCACTACGAGACTGTTGATCCTCATACTGCAGTTGTCAACATTTTGGTCACATGTGAAATAGAGTGATGGTTCTAAGAATAATGTGCTGCAAATACACCCTTAAATTGTCAACGAATGTTAACCTGGAATGTCACCAGGGTTGGTCATATTGAACTTGAGATACTCATAGCAAATCTCCATATTGAGTGACACAATGCTTTTGTGAAAGTGAAGAATGATCATCGCAGTAAATTTTCCAATTTAAGCAATTGGAAAGAAGAAGCCTGAA